ACCCCAAGGTGAGATACTCGGTTTGATGTAGCCTTTCTCCAATAATTCTTCGAGTTGTTCCTTCAGTTCTTGCATTTCTTTCGGTGCCATTCGGTATGGTGCCTTTGAGATGGGTGCGGTGCCCGGCAGAAGGTCGATTGAAAACTCGACTTCCCTCTCCGGTGGCATCCCCGGAATCTCTTCTGGGAATACATCCGGAAACTCATTGACCACTGGGATTTGGTCAATGGTCGGATCCTCGGAGGTCAAGTCTTTGATCCTGCATAAGTAAACTTCATACCCCTTTCGGGCATATCGTTTGACTTGTTGTATGGTTGCTAGCTTCACTCCTGGTTTAGATGTAACTGCTTTGTAGGATACACGTTTTTTATTGGGTCCTCTCAAGACCACTTTCTGCTCGTCGCATAGGATTTTGGCTTTATATTTCCCTAGCCAGTCCATACCCAACACCACGTCGATATCCTCCAGGTCAAATTGGATTAGATCTCCGGGTAGTTCGGTATCGGATATGACTATGGGAACGTTAGAGAAAACACTCCCACATGCCACCACTTGGTTGGAGGCCGTTTTTACGTTAAGACTAAGCTTAGTGGTAGGTTCTAGCTTCGTCCTTTCCACGAATTTTGATGCTATGAAGATGTGGGATGCACCGGAATCAAACAACACATAAGCAGGTTTGGAGTTTACAAGAAAGGTACCTGTCACCACATCGTGTGCATTTGCTTGAGCCTCGTTCATGACGTAGATGCGGACTTGAGTGTTGTTTTGCCCTCCCGGGCCTTGGTTTCGGTTAGCCTCCGCTGGGCGATTACCGAGATTACCACGGTTGATGTTAGCGTGATTATTCCCGCCCCCAGTTTGGTTGTTCCCTTGGTTTTGACCCTGGCTCGGAGGTTTCCGGCACTCATATGCCCGATGTCCCATGAGATTACAGTTGTAACATCTCACCGCATTTCCCGCACAATCCTTCCCGGGATGGTTGTTTGGGCACAGTTTGCATTTGTAGTGCCGTACCTGAGCGGGCTGATTCCCTCCCTGACCCTGGCCTTGGAAGGTTCTACCGTTTTGGTTGTTTTGTCTTGGCTCTGGGCGGTCAGTTCGGGCCTTCTTTTGCTGCTGTTCTACCTCGGCAATCTTCCGGTCTCTCTTCTGCGCCTCCCTCTCCTTCTGATGTACCATGTAGTACTTCCCGGCCTTCTGGTACGCCTCATTCATGTTCCGCGGCTCTGCCACGGTTACGAACTTTTGGGCGCCAAAGTTCAGCCCATTCACAAACCTTCGGGTCATGCTGGCCTCAGTGGATACCAGCTCTTTGGCGAAGCGGGCCAGTTGGACAAACTTCGTGTGGTACTCTTGGACAGTCAAATCTCCTTGCTTGAAGTTGACAAACTCATCATAGTTTGCCTCTTTCACATGGTCTGGATAGAAACGGTCGCGTAGGGCTATCTTGAAGTCTTCCCAACAAAATCCCGGTTGCTCGAGCAGAGTTGTCCCGGTGGCAGCCCACCAATGATCCGCCTCTTGGTGCAAGTAGTACACCGCTATGTTTACCCGCTGCTCTAACGGGCAGTTGAGCGAATCAAAGAGCTTGTCGAAGGTTCGGATCCAGTCTTCTAAAATCAGATGATCCTCCTCAATTCCGTTCTCTAAATATTCACCTTTTTAATTAAGATGCTATAATTAGTCACTTATTCTATTATTAATAATTTATCCAATTTTTCCCTTTTATTTTATTATTCGAATTTATTAATTTAATTAATTAACAATTCGAGTTAATCACTTTTTATAATAAAATTACCCCATTATTCTAGCAATAATTACAATATTTGAATTTTAATATTAAAATAAAATATCTGAATATAATTAACTACAACATCCAATTTTTAATTTGACTAGCATCATTAATTTACTCTACTTATAAATCATACACAAATTACTTAAATTATAGATTACTACGAATATTTTCGTACTTAATAATTGTCTCTTATTATTTAAGCTATTCTAATCTAATTCGGTAATTAATATAATAATCCTTTATTAATTTTAATCGCGTCCGATAATAAAAGGTATTAAATAATTAACAAATCTCAGTTCGTCACAATCTCTTTAATTCTAACACCTATATTAACCCAAAAATTAAAATCTGAATTCTATTTAATATTCAAATTTAATAATTACCTTAATTTATATTAGTCAACATTGTTACAATTATTAGGTCTGAGTTAAATTGACTAATCATCATTAACTTAATCTGATTTTATTACTTACCCAAACACTTGATATTTCCGAGTCCGTAATTATGTTAATTTTATTACTCTATTTCAATTAATCCCATAATTAGTGACAATACTATCTATCAAATTTTATTTAATCTACTCATGTTACTAAGTCCGAATAAGTAATTATTATTTTAATACAATATTCGATTATCAGTTTTTTTATTAATTAAACCATTTTTATTATTTACATTATGTACTAAATAACAATTAACGAATTTATCCAAGTGATTACTATCAGTTAATCAAGCAAATTTCACCATTAATATTTCTCGTCTCAAATGTATTAATTTTGCAGAATCTTATTATTATTATTATTATTGTTATTGTTGTTGTTGTTGTTCTTCTTCTTCTTCTTGTTGTTGTTATAAATCTTACGGCCCGTATAAGATAATCAGCCCAGCGAAATAACCCAGCCCAGTCTATCAACTAAAAGAAGGGAATACAGGAGAGTTCATCAACTACGTACTTCGTTCTTCTTAATGCGGTACCGGCGGCGACGCAAGGCTCTAGCTTCCGGCGGTGACCAGCCGGCTCAGGCGGCGGCGAGATGACTTCCTTTCTGATGGAGATGGCGGCACCCGATGGCTTTCCGGTCGAGCAACAGCGGCAGCAGCAATTTGGTCCGGCGGCACCAACTTCTTCTTCTCCGGCGCTAACTCCTTCTCTTTGCGGCAGAACTGCTATGCTACTCCGACAGTCCGGCGTAGAATCAGCCCGGAAGCCTTATAGCGATTTTCCGACGTGGAGCATCCTCACTATCTTCTTTCGATTTATACCGAAGATTTGAGAGATCGTCTGCTTAGCTATAACTTTAGTTTTGTTTTATCCTACAAAGTATTTATGTATATATAGGTTCTCTAGTTTCACGTGTTTCTGCCATGTGCTCGACGAATGTATAGAGGTCCTGACCGTTCAATTCCCTCCAGCCGTTTGAGGCTTAATGCTATTTACTTGATAACTTAATAAGATTGATTAATGCATATCATTAATCTGGTCCGTTTTAGTTGCCCGTTACTGTCTATACTAATCAAGCTGTAAGTTTATGTTTATAACAATAATGATGCATGTATGGATGCATATACGTTACTTGCATCAAGTATGTATGTATGTAATACATGTATGCATTACGTATGTATGTATATGTATGTGAGTCATGTGCATCATCATCAGGGTATGGTGTGTTAGTTATGCTACGTAGTGCATTGCATCTTATTTAAGTGAAGTATACGTATGAGTTAAGCAAGTACTATTATTACTTACTCGTATTAATTATTTTATCAATAACTTGTTTCACTTTTAATATTTTATCAGATAATTTATATCTGATTTTATTTTAAGAGTTTTTTTTTTGTTTTTTACTTGATTTTTTTTGGGTGTTACACTTTGCTTGCAGCTTCTATAGTTTCTCACTTTTCCATATGGTGATATGGATCATTTGAATGGTGAATTTGACGGCTAAGGGACATTTACTATTGATAAACAATAGAACTTTCTAATGGTTCAACTTGAATTTTAAATTGGAGGTAAAAAATGATCTGAATATAACATAAAAGTCTCATCACTTTTGGTTCTAGATTTTATAGTGTTGAATCACATAGTAATATACTGTTCATTATTCAGAAGGTAACATGTTAATGGTTTGTTCACTTAATTTTCCTTCCCAGTTGCTAAAATGACATTTTAGTTTCAAGTTATTTAAAAGCAACATGCTATTTCTAACCGGTACCATTATTCATCAAGCAAATGAATTGTAATTGTTTTAGCATAACATCACCTTATACACCTTATTGAATCATTTTGGTCACTTCACACACAGATCTTATTAAAACAGCACATCATTTAAACACAAAATTGCTAGAAGTGTCAACACTAAATTAACATCAACTTCTATATGGGTGACACACACACTTAAACATTTTATCAAACAACACATGTGCAATATATAATCAAAGCTAGGTTGTAGCTATTTTCAGAGAGAATCGTGAAAACAGATGAAATGAAGAATTAGAGAGTACCTCTACTTCTTGGGCACCGAAGATATTGTGCCAGCAAAGCTGTGTTGATGTGGTAGAAAAGCAAACCTGAGTCGGTAAAAACATAAATATCAAAAGCAACAACATTGTTTTAAGAAATTTGGGATTCGATAACCTCAGAAAACCATCATACTTAAGCAATAGAATTGTTTCATAAAGTTGAAAATAATATTACGTAGTAGAGTATTAGATTACAGAACGGAGAATTGAAGAGATGAAGAATTAGATAGAGATAATACCTCTGACATTGGGACAGTGAAAGTATGAATCCCTAATGTCGATCCACATCTATATATAGTGGCGTTGTGATTTGGAGGTTTCCTAGTTTCGGTGAAGAGGCGGACGCTATGTTATCGCATAGGATTGAGATGGAGAGTTCTAAACGTAAACAATCAGCCTGGAATCGTAGGGCGTTGAAATCGCAGAGGGTTGAAATCGCAGGGCATTGAAATCACAGAGAGTTAAAATTGCAGGGCAGAAAGAAGATAAAGATGGAAACCATAAGGAAGCATTATTCTTTTTTTGGAAGATTAAATTGGAAGGAAGCGTTTTTTTTGAAGATGAAAATGAAGCAGCGCCTTTCATTCTCCTTGTGAGCACATCAACTTAAGTGATTAGAAGGCCACATGTCATCGGAATAATATAGGAGAGAAAAGTAGAATGAGTAACACCTATCTATTTGAAGGGGCAAAATGGTTATTTGACACAACTATTTCATTTTCTTATATATAAATATATAAATAGAATAGTTTTCCGATCTAACGAGTAACGCCCTGCCTCCTCATCTGAGTTCTTCATCTCGTACATCTATACGGTGCTTCATCTCCATTCTTCACCTCTGTTCCATCGCCGACGTGGGTCAACGGTAAGCACTCATCACCTTTTCAACGTGAGCAATGGATTTGCGCTTGGATTTTCCTAAGCAACGACCTGCGAGAAATCAGAGCTTTCTCATCGCTTTTCCGGCGATTGATTAAGCCCAATGGCGCTCCCTTTCTGCGTTGCTCACGAAAGGCGACCTTTGACTGATCAATTGATACCGTTTTTGTTTTTTTTGAAGTTTTAGTTTACTCAGGGTTCATGAAAAGTCAATTTCCGTTGGTTTGATTTTTAATAATTTAGATTCACCAGTTCTCAGATTCTTCTTGGATTCGCTAGTTCTCAGATTCTCTCCGACATGGCCAGTTATTCACCAGGTTTAATATCCCTTTATTTTATGGACTGTTACACTTCTCTATGCATAAAAGATGTTTTGAGTTTGACTTAGATTCTGAAATTAGTGCACTAATGGCTTTAATTTCTGCTTTTTTGACAGTTCTCTTACAATTTATATTGGACTTTGTATGTTATGAGATTTATTTTAGTGACCAATTATGATTTTGAGATTGAAATTTTTACACTTTTAGTATATTATGAAGTTTATGTATGTTATTAGCTAAAGAAATACATGAAGAATGTATTGTCTGCGTTGTGTTTGTTGCAAACCACTTTGTGTTTGTTGCAAACCACCTTCAACTATTTATAGGGATTAGTTGTGCCTTAATGACGTTTTTAATGGACATTAACGTTGGACATCAATGTCCAAAACGTTGGCATTGATTCGTCCACAAATGTCCATTTAATTGTATTAACGTTGGGCATTTATGGTGTTGTAACGGCAGCAGCCTGCTGCAAGCATGAGAGCAGCAGCCTGCTCCAGCTAAAAAATAGGAACATTACGGGAAGAAGCAAAAATTAAATATTATCTTTAGAAGATAGATTTTTGGACGACATTCGTGTTCGCAGGTCGCCCGCGCACGCAAGTCGCGGTTTTTCTTCTCCGTTTTAGACTTTTAGGGATTTGATCGGCAACCCCAGCGCGTGAAGAGAGCCTTTCCACCTAAGAATCTTAACTCCTTCAAATGGGGTTCCCTTTATAAGGGGGTGAAAATCCCCTGGGTTTTTCGATGTTGGATAAAACACACTAGAAACCCATCATTTTTCTAATTTTCTCCATTTCGACGAGTGAACTTTGAGAATCAATTTCTCATTCACCCGTTATCCGTTTTGAGTATAGCACATATCGAATTGTAGCCCTTAGCAAGGACAATCCGAAATCACTTTGACCCGGCCCAAATCGGAAGTGGATCACACTCAAAAAATGGCCCCAAAATGACCATTTAATGCAATTTATTAACACATTTTTCAACAGAAACTGACAATGGGGACATGTGTGCACAAACCCAGAAACGAAAGCACATAATTTTTGCAAAAAAAATCTTATCAATCATAAGTCATTCAAAGGTAGAGTTTAGAGAAATACCTGGAAGACTTCTAAGTGATGAGCGAAGAGCAGTAGCAGATGCGAAGAGTAGCGGCGAAGAGCAGCAACAGATGTGAATAGTAACAACGAAGAAGAAAGCATGGGTGATTTCTTTGACGAGCCTTTTTGTTGCTTCGGTTTGAAATTTGGGCGGAAATATTTTCAATTGCCGTTAGAACTTTTTCAGTCACCTTTGAGATGAAATTTTTGAGATGAAATTTTTGCTGAGTCAAACTTTCTCATAGCCTTGGTGAAAGTAGAAAGGGAGGCAGAGGACGTGCGTTTTTACTCGGTCCAGTTCATCAGCACACGTTAAATAGACATTTCCATTGAAGCAAGTAAATTAACCACAAAATCTATTTACGTGAGGTGACAATTTATTTTTGAGCAACTCATTTTACCACATATACTCTTATGAGAAGACCGCTCACATGTGAAATTATTGTTGTAAATTTTTTCCTTTTTAATATTAAAACGGTCTCACAATCACAAAATTTCCCAATGGGCTTTTATGCTAGAAACCTCGATGTCCAAGATCCAGGATACGCTACCCGAATAAAGATCGGATCGGACGACTCGATCAATTCTAAACCGTTCGTTCTGAAGGGATTTTCAGAGGCTGATTCTTCTTTCCCAAACATTGAGTACTCTACGCGACACATTAGTCTTTGCTTCTCTCTCGATCTCAAAGACATGAGTAATTTATCCCCCCCTCTATACGTATCACATGTTTATATGTAGGCTTGTGCTTAATTTCATCATCTACGATGTTTGTTTGATGCGGAAGTGGTTGTTATCATGATGTTTGCAGGTTCGGTGAAGAAGATTATTAGCTTCTTCCGATCTTAATTTTTGTTTTTTGGAATATCCGTATGTGTCACATGTGAATCAAATCTGCTTATGACTGAAACGTTTTGATCTATTTTGTTTTGTAAATCAGGTTTTGGAAAAATCAATCGGTGTATGTTCAGAATTTTTGGCCCAAAATATGAGACGAAACATTTTTTTGGTGCCAATGACCCGCTAAAGGCATCAACTCCCAAGGTATTTGCATGGTTAATAGCGTGTAGTTGTTACTGGATTGATTTTTTCCCCTTCCTGAGATATGAGAGCCTTAGTTGTTTGTCTTTGACGTGTTCTAGTACCATGTGGTATTTTATTGCATATTTTAAATTAAATCTTTGATTAAATTTAGATGCAACCTTTTGAAATTGGGTGAGCCAGATAGAACTGAGTTTGGTGTCAAATAATGAATCATCTCCTAATTGCTTGCTATTTATTAATCATCACGGTGAGAATTTTCAAAACTTCTGTATTTACCAATTACTGCCACTTGTTATCATGGATGCAACCATATCCATTCTTAAATATAATAGGATTAATAGCTAATGCAAAGTTTGAAACTTTGCAAGTTGATTGATAACTCAGTTGTTGATGTGGTACTGAATATTACATCAAACATTGTTACATGCTTACACCTCAACACCTGTAATTGGATTGCTTCAGTGCCTTAAATACACATTTCACGCTTCTTTAACAGCTCTGTCTAATCTCTATATCTATAAATATAAATGGGTCTAGACCTACATTTTTTCTTGGATAAGCTCGTATTCTCTTTTGGTTGGAGTGTTGGACTCATTCAAAGCTTTTCTAACATGACATGAATTTTATGATATGATTTAATGGGGACAAAATATACGGCACAATTTGACTATAGAACAATTAAATCGGTAATCTCTACCGAAATAGCTGTTTTGTCTACCCAAAGCGAAATATGTCTTGTACTCGTAGATACTTATGGTAGACAAAATGGCTAATTGGATGGATTGTGCTGATATTATTGTTCAGAAATCGGGATCAGTGTCAAATTTCGACCAAAAAATTACCCATGCCTTAATATTTTGTAAATAAAGTCTCAATAAGAGTTTTATAATTTTAATGGGTCTTTTGTGTAGAAGGAACTGCAAATCAAATTGATCTACACCATTAATTATGAAATATTTCATATAGAATCAAATCTGATCTTCAACATTTATGGTAATATATTTCATATATAATCTTACCTTGAATAGTCTAGAAAATCCCTGTATAAATTGTACAATCTATGCATCAATAAACTATGCAATTTACCTATCAATTCCTGCCTCTACGGAAATTCTGTATGGTATCAGAGCCATTTTGAGCTCTAAGTAGCCTTTTCATGGCCTCTAACAGTTTGAAAACCCTTTCTCTTCCGCCTCTCCTTCTTCAAATGAACTCCCCCATTTATCTCATAGGAATTCAGATCTATTGAGGGGTTTATTCATCTTCAACACCTCCCATTTGGCCTATCGTTCTGGGAAATGGCTTCTGCCCTATCGTTCCTTTGTTCCTCCTCCAGGTGCTGCAACTGCAGACTCATCTCCTGATATTTATACCTCGTGTGCGAATGATATCCCTAGTACGTCCTCTTCTCCTTATCTCATTCCAATTCCAGCCCGTCAACCCAATCCAACAACTCCCAAATCACACCTGACCCTGCAGTACAGTCCAAAAACTCCTACAACTAACCCAACTCCTCAGCCCAAGCAGCTAGACCCACCCCTCCCAAAGCCCATTATCCCCTATACACGCAGACCCAAACTAGCATCCTTACTACAACCTCACCTTCTTACTACTTGGCTCCTTCACCTAGACTTGATTCATGTACTGATCCATCAGTGGAAACACCACTTTTCATCCCATTCCTGATCGAGTGAGACCCACTCAGCTACCAAATCCACTCGAGCTGCCCAACCTAACTCTGCCGCAAGCTCCAACTCCTTTTCCCCATCCAAACTTATTCATTGGCCCTAACAGAAACTCCCATTTACAATGTGCCCCTGTTCTGCAACACAAACCACAACGTACTCACCTAATGACCACTCGTAGCCTCGCCAAAAAAGCACATCTTCTCCAAACTAATCATTTACCTCATCATATTATTCTTTCTTGTGATCTCAAGCCTAACAAGTACCAGAATGGAGAAAAGCTGTGGCAGTAGAAATCAATGCCCTGGTTCAGCAAGGTACTTGGGAACTCATGCCTACTTTTACAATTCAAGATGTGGGTGGTTGTAATTGGGTTTTTAGAGTGAAATATAAGCCATATTGATCTTTGAAATGTTAGGGTTAGATCTCACACACGCACGAATCTGAAAAACTAGAAAAGAACGAGAACGGCACACGAATATAACGTGGTTCAGCCAGTAAGTGTTACTGACCTAATCCACGGGGGCAACTAGGGTTTTCTTTCTTGTTGAGATGATGAATGATACAACTATACAAGTCATAGTTTACAAATACATGAGTCAATATATATAGGCAAACAATTAGGGTAAAACACTTGATAAGGTTATGGGCCTGACTGCCACCAAAGAAACAGGCCCAACTAGGGCTGCCTGCACATTTAAGTAGAGCAGGCTGCTGCTCTTTGTTCATTTGCTCCCAGATCTGAATGGGCCGAAGCCTACAGCCCAACAATCTCCCACTTGGAGGCTTCGAAACACGATCAACTGCACTCCACTACGCTGTACTTCTATAAACTTCATCTGTGTTTAGCTCCTTCGTCCTCTGAATTTTCACTATCAACAGAGTCTTCGTGATCATCCTCAGACTCGTTAGTACTGGAATCATTCTCCATGCTCCCACTGTCTTGAGTATCTTCAGACTCTATTTCTAATGACATCATTTTCAAACTCAACCGCTCTTTCTGAATCTTTGAGTTTTCTGTGCTTCTGTCTTTATAAAGTTCAGCCTCGTTGAATGTAGCATGTTTACTTCTGACTACCTTTCTACTTTCAAAGTCCCAAAGTCGATAACCCATGTTGTCTCCCCCGTATCCAATGAAAGTGTATTTCTTGGGTTTAGCATCTAACTTGTCACCATCTTTGATAAGATCATAAGCGTTGCATCCAAATACCTTTAAATGCCCATACTTTACTGCTTCTCCTTTCCACTCTTCCTCTGGTATATTGAAACCTAATGGTACTGATGCCCCCGTGGTTGATAAGATAAGCGGCAGTGTTCACTGCATAAGCCCAGAACGTCTTTGGAAGCCCAACATTAAATCTCATACTTCTGGCCCTCTCATTCAAAGTTCTGTTCATCCTTTTTGCCACTCCGTTTTGTTGAGGAGTGCCTGGAACTGTCTTTATCATCCGAATGCCATGTTCAGCACAGTAATCAATAAACTTCGTGCTAATGTATTCACCACCAATGTCCGATTTCAAGCACTTCAGATTAGTTTCCAATTCAACAGCAGTTTTCCACTTCTTAAAAATATTGAAAACTTCAAACTTATTTTTAAGAAAGTAGACCCATACCTTGCGTGTTGAGTCATCAATGAAGGTCACATAGTAGCTTGATCCTCCTAGTGGCGTTGGCCCAAACACATCCATGTGAACTAGCTCCAGCTTATGAGTTTTCGGTGTCTGACCTGTCTTCACAAAAGAAACCTTCTTTTTCTTGCCAAGTACACAAGGCTCACAGAACTCAGAATCCACCTTTTTCAAATCTGAAAGTTTCCCCCTCGCAACGAGCATCTTCATTCCCTTTTCACTCATGTGGCCTAGCCGTTGATGCCACAAACTGGATGGATTCAGCCCGTTGGTCGCTACATTCATCTCATCATCAACTTCAACCATATATAAAGCACCCCTCTTTTTGCCTGTGGCAATTACAAGATTCCCCTTGACAACTTTCCATTGTCCTTCACCAAAAGTAACATCAAATCCCTGATCATCCAACTGCCCAATAGAAATCAGCATCTTCTTATGGCTTGGAATGACCCGAACGTCTTTCAATGTCCAAGTGGTGCCCAATGAAGTCTTCAAGTCTATGTCTCCCATCCCTGTGATGTCAAGAGAGTCGTTATTAGCCAAACGAACTTTACCAAAATCACCTGTAGATTCTTCATCGCCTTCGTGCTGAAAGTAGCATGAAATGATGCACCAGAATCCATAATCCATGTTTCTGTTGAGTTTTCAACACAACAGATAAGGGCAGGGCATCATCTGAATCGTCAGTGGCTGCATTTACTTCCTTCCTTTCTGAGGATTTAGGGCATTGATTTCTGAAATGCCCAGTTTCTTTGCAGTTCCAGCATTGAATATCTTTTCTCGGTTTTGACTGGCCCCTCTTTCTAGACTTTGACTTTGATCTACCTCTGCCTCTGCCATTTCCCTTCTCTTTCTTTCTACCTCTCCCTTCAGTACTTAACAAAGCACTAGAAGATTCTCCAGAACTCCTCCTTCTTATATCCTCTCCTAGGATAATGTCACGAATGCCCTCAAATGTGAGTTTAGAGGTTCCGGTTGAACCGCTAATCGCAGCGACTGTTCCTGACCAACTTTAGAAGAATAAAACTTGGACTTCATCTTCAAACTTAATATCAGCAGATAGTAAACAGGATATGGTAGTATTAAACTCATTAATGTGTGAGGTAACAGATGCACCTTCTCTCATTCTGGTGTTTACTAGCTGTCTTATCAGAAATACCTTGTTTGATGCCGATGGTTTCTCATACATGTTTGACAAAGCCTTCATCAAACCACATGCAGTAGTCTCCTTCAAGATGTTAAATGCCACACTCTAGGCTAGGGTAAATCTGATAACAGCCAAAGCTTTCCTGTCTAGAGCAGCCCATTCATCATCACTCATCTTTTCTGGTCTTTTCCCTGTCAAGGCTTGATCCAAATCCTTCTGACACAACAAATCCTCAATTTGCATCTTCCCCCATCCAAAATCTTGTCCATCAAACTTCTCGACTTTGATTTTTCCGCCATCTGCCATTGTCCCAGTCCTTCACAATCTGCCGGTTATATTCTTCTGCGGCAGCGCACTGTTGGCGGCACGAGGAGGCTGAAGATGCAGGGCGGCAGCAGTGGTGGTGGTCGAATATGTGGTGGTGGCTAACCTGGCTCTGGTACCAGTTGTTAGGGTTAGATCTCACACACGCACGAATCTGAAAAACTAGAAAAGAACGAGAAGAACGGCACACGAATATAACGTGGTTCAGCCATTTAC